TGAAACACAAGCTAAAGTGGAAACTGAAACACAAGCTAAAGTGGAAACTGAAACACAAGCTAAAGTGGAAAGTGAAGCACAAGCTGATGTAGAAGCTAAAGTGGAAATTGAAACACAAGCTAAAGTGGAAAGTGAAGCAGAAGCTGAAGTAGAAGCTAAAGTGGAAACTGAAACACAAGCTAAAGTGGAAACTGAAACACAAGCTAAAGTGGAAACTGAAACACAAGCTAAAGTGGAAACTGAAACACAAGCTGAAGTGGAAACTGAAACACAAGCTAAAGTGGAAACTGAAACACAAGCTAAATTGGGAACTGAAGTAGAAGGTAAAGTGGAAATAAAAGCTGAATCTGAAATAGAAGATGCTCGTAAAACTGAGAATGTTCATGAAGTAGAAGCTGCCGTGGATTCTACATGTGTTTTAGAAGCTAGGAGCCGGGAATCATCCAAAGAACTAAAGTCAGATGTTCAAGCAGTCACAGATGAACCTAAACAGACTGAAATTGGTACAAATTCAGAGGAAGAAACATTTGTGGACTCTGAAGTATCAACACAAGACGGTAAAGTTTTCACTGAAACAGAAACTGTTGTGGAGACAGCTCCACCTGCACCTGAACCATGTGTTGAGGAGAAAATCACCTCATTACTCCAAGATGTTCCTCAGCCAGGACAAACTCAGGCCGACACAGACGAAGCTGGGAGAAAAGCTCAGCTGGATAAGGTTTCTGAGATACACAAGGATCAGGAACCAGAAAGTCTTCTCTGTGAAGAAGAAAACCTTCCTGAAGCTGGAGAGAAGATACAAGTTTTAACAGCTGGTCACATTTCTTCTGTCATGAAGGAAGAAGATAGAGCCCAGACCTTACAGGAGACGATAAGCCTTCAGAAGACCCTGACATTTGGTGCAGATGAAGCTAAAGTTTCAGAGGAAGGGACTCTCTGTCAGGTACAGGAGAACATAGAAGCAGGAGAAGCCACTAATGTGAACCACAAAGTCCATCTGCAGGTGATGGATGCTGAGATCAGATCCGCTCAGAATACAGTTGACACAGTGCTGAAGCTCGGACTTACAGACGCTAAAGGACTCATAGATTTTTGCCCTGAAACCACTGAAGAAGTAGAAGAACACTCAGCCACACTGCTGATTGAAGAAGACTCAATAAATGAAGAAGTTCAGGTGACAGTTCAAGAAGTAATACAGCATGTGGAGAGGAAGTTTCCAGAAGCAAAAGCCAGATCAGTTGTTGAAACTGTGGACAGAGTTCTTAAACAGGCAGGTGTGACAGAAGGAAGAGAAATGGAACCAAATAAGTCCAAAAATGGTCAGCTGATCATGAGAGACCCAGAGAGACCCGATGAAGAAGACATCTGTGCAGTCTCAGCTGACGCACAAGGCTCTGAAGATCAAACAGCCAGAGTTTTGGAAAGTTTGGATTTGGAAGAAACCAAAGCAAGTCTGGGAAGGTCATCTGTTTGTGTGACAATAGAAGAAGTCAGAGCAGAGAAATTAACTGAACTCAGAAAAACAAACACAGAAACTCAAAGACTGCAAACTGCTCAAAGTCACATACTTCCACAACATAACGCAGGAACCCTCTCATCAACAAGGAACCTGGAGTCTCCATCTGGTGTTTCCATTGAGTTCAAACTGAATATCCAGGTTGGACCGGCTCCTGCTTCTCCACATCCAGACCCAGCTGAACCTGAGGGGTCAGGTGTTCAGGCAGTGAAACAACAACCTGAGTGTCAGACTGCTGCTCAGGCCACAGAGAAAACACAGTCAACTCAAAGAGCCGTCATCACCACTCAACCATTGCTTCAGACTGTCTCTGTTCAACGAGTGGAACCAGAACAACAAAGAGCCGTCATCACCACTCAGCCACTGCTCCAGACTGTCTCTGTTCAGAGACTGGAACCAGAAAGAGCAGAACAAATCAAATCCACAGAGACTCTAGAGGTCCAGGCAACAGAAGAAAGACGGGAAGATGCAACAGCAGAAGTCCTGAGAGAACCACTGCTCTCTGAGACAAAAACACAGGAAGCTTTAAAACAACCAGAGGACGAAAACAATCAGGATGAGTGGCTGGATGCTGAGGAAGATATTTACATTCAGAAGTCCACAGATGAGACAGAAGAACCTGTGGAACAGCTGACTGACACTGAACAAAGGAACCAGCCAGAATCTGAGCTGGAAGTTAAAACATGTGACCCTGAGAACAGAGAGAATCAACAAGACGCACAAAACCCCTCAGGAACACTGGAAGATGAAAGTGAAGGCGAAGATTTTGCTGTTGCTCTTGAAGACCTGGAGAGCAGCTCCTCTGCAGTGAAGTGGGATTAAATGAACCTGACTCAAGCTTTACAGAAAGGTAAATCTGGTAATTATTTTTAATCTTAATGCCTTAATGAACCGAGTAGTATTACAATCACTGAGAAATAAATGATCCTGACTTTCTTTGTTCCTCAGGCTGGACAATCAAACAGGAAGAGGTGGTTTCAAACAGATCTCCATTTAATCCAATAATATTATCAAACTAGTTTTGAATTTAAAGGTTTCAAATATTAAAGGAATGCATATTGTCTGCCATTTTTTATATCAGTTTTAAACTAAGAACGTATTCTGGTGAAAAATGATGGAGCTGTAGCTGTTTTAGAAATGTTGTAAATGAGGTGATTAGTGAACTCATGGAACATGTCAGCACCACTCTAAGCTAATACCCCAACAAAATTTCTAGCAGTTTACTCTGGACACACAACATATGGAGTCCAGACAGGTAAAATATTTCAGCAATGTTTATAATAATAAGTCTGAATACAAAGAGTGGCCTGAATCAGCCAGCAATCTGCCTGATTGGGACTCCCCTCACCCTGTGGTCCAGGCACTCACCCTACAACCAAAAACCAGGGAAAATGGCAGCCAGTAACTCCCAGACTCAACATCTAGCAATTATGTGACAGTAAGAAAAGTGTCTGTGGGCAGGAGCGAGGCTAGAGAGCAGGACCCACAATGCACCATGTCTCTACTCTGGCCTTCCTAGCGAGAAGGGGTTATGTGCAGAATCAAAGTGGGCGTGACACAAGAGTGGGCGTGTCTAAAGCATTTACACTGTGGGCTACGAGGCCTACAAGACGGTACCCTGCTTGACCTCTATACAGCCTGACCCTGACCCCAACACTAAGGTTAACCAGGAGAAATGTGGCCTAAGTAGGGTTCTCCAGAAAAAGTGGTGCCGTGCAGTAACGCTCCTTTTGTTCTTGTCCAATCAGGTGGTGCCATAAGGTGACGCCCCCTTTTTGCTTGTCCAGTCAGGTGTGTCCCTTTAAAAAAGTCCGTCAAATCAGGTGTGTCGCTTTAGAATTGCCTTTCATTGGGACACGCCCACTCGTCCACAGAGACCCCTACTTGCTTTTAAACTGGTATCAGCCAATAAGTTGTAAAGAAACAATAGAGGTAATTAGTAATTCCTGGCTCACATGGACATGTCGCACTGACTCAAAGACATTTAGGCTGTGTCTCAATTCAGGGCCTGGGTCCTCATGAGTGCACATTTGTCGGCTGCATACGTCATTGCCCCCCGCCCAGGACAGTCCCAATTCGAAGGCTCCTCATCACGCGGCCAAGGAATGCGTCCTATTTCCTGTTGAAACCCGAGGATGCATCCATGTATCCTTACCAGCCGAGGATATCCCAGGATTCAATGCGCAGGCAGCAAAATAAACTGAGAAATGAAGACGGTGGTGTTTTTATTTTTTTAACGTGTCGGCGCAGTTTGGAAATTCACCACGGACCGAAGGATTTGTTTTTTAAAAGTAAGTTTAGCAATTTAGCTGATGAAATTTATGCTGCAATAAGATGTTAAATAAAAGAAAATGCAAGTTACGAGAATAAAGTATTATAAGAATAAAATCATAACATTACGAGAATAAAGTCATAATATGAGAATAAATCGTAATATTACGAGATTAAAGTCATACTACAAGAAAAAAGTCATAATATCCTAGCCTTTACGTGAAAAAGCATGCAGTCATCACTGCATTAAAATGAGGATTTTGTCAAGTTGTTCTTTATTGTTTATAAATAAATAGCTTTCTTTTAGCACCCAGTTATCAGTAGCAGGACATGGAAATTGTGCAAACGACTATATGATAAACTGAAGCTGTAATTAATAGATGCATTGACAGATTTAGTCGTCACGTTGTTAATTTGGAAGAAATCATATTAATCTAACAGTGATCCAGGTCATCATGACTACTTTATAAACACAGAGAAACACCTGGCTGTACACAGAAGGTACGAGGGGAAAAAATTACTTTATTTAATTCAGCAAACAAATAATAAAAAATAAATAAATAAAAACAAATAATAATAGAAACAAACAAATAATTAGACAACGTTTTGTCAAAAAAAACACGATCACAACATATTCAAATGAAAAGGAGCAGAAAGAATAAAATCTTATAACATCTGCCCCAATAAAAAAATACGTATCTAAAAAACGTACAACATTCAAATAATAAAACTCAACTTAATACACAATATAATTTAAAATAACAACTTCACAACAAAAATACAAATATCAATCAAATCTTTGTTCATACCTCATTAAAAAACTTTTAATCATTCTGCTAAATGAATAAATTGTTCCAGCATTCTTAAGGTCACCAAGCATTGACTTTATTCTCATAATATTACAACTTTATTCACATAATATTACAACTTTATTCTCATAATATTACAACTTTATTCACATATTATGACTTTATTTTCATAATGATAATAAAAAATATGTGTTATCTCCGTTGTAGATACTGGAGCTAAACCCAAATTACTGTTTTCTTTATTTACGTTTGAATTTATTCTTCCAGTAAAAAGACGTGTAAACACGTCCCGAAGCATTTTAAGTCCGACATGAAACTGATCACTATGGTAACGTGGTCACGCAAACCCACGTGAAGCCGACGTCAGGCGAAGGCTGGACCGTCTCATTTCACAGCAGTTTTGAGCATCCTACCCGGCCCAGCAAGGATGTGGCCTCTGTGGCCCATGAATTGAGACACAGCCTTAGTGTTTACTGTTGATTAGCTGTGGCAGCCATCTTTAATTGAACTGACTCCAAATGTGAAACAGTTGTAAACATTTATCCAGTGATTACATTGAGTTTTGCTCCAATCCTCCCTCTGGTTGATAAGATCTGTTGTTAATGCCACACACACACACACACACACACACACACACACACACACACACACACGTTTGGGTTCGGCTTTGGTGACATTCGGGAGCAATTTTAAGACAAAAATCCTACCTTTGGGGACAACAGGTGAATTTGGGAACAAAAGTCGAGTTCCCATTAGTGGGTTGGGGTTTGGGTTTAGGACCAAGGCGTGAATTGAGTTTAGGTTAGTTTTAGGGTCAGGTAGGTACCTGTGAGGTTAGCAGGGTTTGTGATCAGGGTTAGGCTGTAGAAATGTAATGGAAGTCAATGGAATGTCCCCAAATGGATAGCTGGGCAAATGTGTGTTCTTGAACCCCATGGGGAACTTCCATTGACCTCCATTCATTTTTTTAGACTTTATAGCCTAACCCTGTCCATTTATCCTAAAATCAACCTTACAGGTAACCTACCTGACCTAAACCTTGTTCTCCTTTTTTAATTTAATTGGTCAATTTTAAGTGTATTTCTTTATTTATCGGTCCACTTATATATTTCTGCTTTTATTTGTAATGATGACAGCCTCGGTCATTGGGTCTGTATAATGGTGTAAATTTACCTGTTGAATTTGTGCATTTACAATGTCATTTCCACAGCAACCTCAGTTTTTTCCAATAAACGTGAGATCAGCCCGCTTCATGCATGAATACTAACTAACTGGTATCTGATTTAATATTTAAAAATTATGGTAAATGGCTAGAACTTACATAACACATTTTTGAAGCCCAGTTGCGTGTTTCTCTTCAACCATTAACACACACATTCACACACTGATGGTGGTAAGCTACATTGTAGCCACAGCTGCACTGGGGCAGGCTGACAGAGGTGGGGCTGCCATGAACCGGCGCCACCGGATCCTCTGACCACCATATGTAGGCAAGTAGGTGAAGTGTTTTTCCCAAGGACACAACTGAGACAGGTGGAACAGGGGATCGAACCAGCAACCTACCGGTTATGGGATGACCCAGTTTATGGTTACCTCCTCCCCCTTTATAGTCAACCAGGCTGTTAAAACAATTCGATTGGTTGTCTTTTTTTTTTTTTGATTGACACCTCTTTTGACCAACTGGGTTATTCTACAGACTGTCCAGAGCCCAAAATATGTGGATAGTCCCCCATGTCCCACCTGTATGTGGTACACATGATTGATTGACTAGAACTAGCCAATCAGCTCTGGGCTTCATTCTGACACCACAGCTGTGTAGCCAATCTAGTTACCTTTTATTTTATATGCAGTTTTGGAAATAAAAAAAAGTTAATGGTTATAGTGTATTTTAAGTTCAATAACTAAATGTAGTTGCAGTTACAAAAATTATGACTGCTGAGTTAAAAACTCAGATTGATAGCTTTACATAGAGACTAGCAGTGTTGGGCAGCACTTATATAAAAATTAGTTCTACTAGCCCTCAAATATTTAGGTCCCCTAATTCTAAAGCACCAATGCAGTGAAAAATTTTGCAAAAGCTAATTCTAAAGCACTAAAATAACCCACTCAACCCATGAAACACTCTCTAGACAACATGAGTCACATATTGCCATGTTGCTCTCTTAAGCCTTATCATTGACATTCCACAGCCTTATTTGAGCTCATTTATTGTCAATATGTCATCTAGTGGATAAGTGACAAATTTATAAACAAAATGTGACAGCTTTCACCCTCAGCAGTTAACAATAATGTTGATGAAAAACATTTATAGACCAGTTAGTGCTTCTAAATTTAGCCTATAAATTTAGCAAGAGCTAATCCACTAACAAATTTTAAAATTAGCAAAAGCCCTACACCACTAATCAGGAAATTGGTTCCCCTATTAGTATTTTAGGGGAACTGTGCCCAACACTGGAGAATAGGCTTGTGAATTTACTCCAAAGGGTTCAAGAATAAAACTTAATTTAAATTGGGTTAGGCCTGCAGGTTAAAACATGTTCATCATTAAGTCAAGTTCAACCCGTAGAGTATCCAGATGTTTTATTCAATTAAATGTAGTGATATTTCATAGTAATATTACTCAAGTAAAAGTATGATGCAGTAAAACTACACTCATAAAAGGAAAAAAAAATTGTATAGGTCCTCTGGACGGGTTCTTCTTTAATGAAACGTTTCGTCTCTCCTCCAAGAGACTTCTTCAGTCTGAGAG